ATTTCCAACAGTGTGGCAAGTGACACTACAGAAGATGTGCCTATTTTTGTATGCACCTTAGCCTTTCCATCCCAGCCGTGCCCTTTGCATATCTTTGAGCCTCGGTATCGTCTGATGGTTAGGCAATGCATGGAATCAGGGTCACAGCAGTTTGGCATGTGTCTGCATGATGAAGAGAAAGGGTAAGACCAAACCCTTGTGCTGTGGATGACTGTTAGGTTAATATTAACATTGCTATTAGGCAGATTGAAAGAAGATCATTTAACAACAGATGCAAAGTTGTAGATCAAGAAAGGCTCAATTCTTTTGGTTCAATTAAGGTACTCCTAAATGCTATCTTCAGCCCTCTTGAGGCTTTTCTACTCCAAAATCATAGAAATCAAAGGGTGAACTATGAAGAAGTTTAGATATTTGCAGATGAACCTTACATCATTTTCACTTGATATACATCCTAATGATATTGGAGTTTTAAGATTCATTCCCATTCCTCTTTCTAAGAGCTGGAAAGCAGAGTTGCCAGTGAAGAAAAGTAAATGAATGTGGGCAGCAGTTTTGCTGATACACAGCAAGTTTTAACCACTTTGATTGAAGGAATGCAGCTGTGTTTCATCCCAATCTCTTTTTGCATCAGAACAGAACTTCTGCCTGTTTTTATAGAAAGCCACATTTTGTAGGCTGATAGGACTATCTCCGAAGCAAATCCACCAGCTTATATTCCTCTTGTGTGACCAGGACATCATTTCTCCTAACAATATCAATAGAATATCAAGCAGAAAAGTGATGAGAATATAGAAAAACATAAATTAGGGGATTATTAGTTGATCCAATGTCAAATTCTCTGAACTAACATCATAAGAGTTGTATGGAAAACAGTAAGGGAATTACTAATTCTTTCTAGATCTTTAGAGCAAAAAGGTTTAGAGGCTCCTGAAGAAAGAGGAGAGTAATTATTGATCCAATTTTAGGGGCACAATGTTCCTAAATTTCGTTCCCAGTCTAAGCTCTCGTCTTCAATGGAAGCATTACTGATTGTTTTGATTATTGTTGGTTTTCTTTGTAGTTTTGCTGATTATGGTGTGATGCTTGAGATAAGAGACTTGCAATACCTTCCAGATGGAAGATCTTTTGTTGACTGTGTTGGTGGAAGACGTTTTAAAGTAATTTTTTCATCTCTTTCTCCTTGCACACATATATATGCATTATTACATGTTGGTTGTTATTTAATTAGTAGTTTAACATGTCAACTTCAAGTTAAAATAATATTAATAAAACAAGATTGATTTGCCACTCTTAAGTTACCATCATGGTCATTGTGTATTTAAAGATAATTTCTACCTTTAAACAACACCTATATATGGAGAAATTCCTCATTAGTTACATTGATCATCTCAAACTCAAATAGGACTTGTATTAACTTGTATTAAATTATATTAAATTCAATGAATTGGAAAATGAATTTGAACTTTCTTTTATTTGCTTATGTAGGTTCTTAAAAGAGGAATGCAAAATGGATACCACACTGCTAAAGTAGAATGGATCAAGGATGAAACGATTCCAGAGGAAGAACTTGGTAACTATATAGGCAACCCTTTAAAACTGCAGAAATGGTCAACTTGTAATTTCTCCTCTCACTGCCAGAACATCTTTTGAGAAGCAGGTCATGAGAAAGGAAAAGTGCATCAGCTTGAAGATACCCTCCCAATGTTATGCCTTTGTTTACTAACTATTTTACTGCCAAAACATTCTGTAACTGAAAAAGAGAATTACCATTCATATCTGGGAAGTTAAAAATGGACAGGATTAATTTATCTGTCATGCATGTATATGTCACTTAAAAGTAAGAGAACTATGCTACTATATTCATTGTACAGTGTTTTTATGAATGGCAAGAATTTAAATCTTCCAGTTACCCCTATGACATTAACTTCACACTCTAGAAATAAATCTTGGATGTTATAATTAACCCTTTGTATATCTTATTATCTTCAGAACATGTAAATACTCTTCATCGACAAGTTTATGATGAAACAAAATCTTGGTTTAATAATCTACCACTCCTTCCAAGGGTAAGACATAAGACATTTTTCCTCATTTGTAGAGCTGTACCTCAAGATCTCTGTATGGTAAAATACTGATGTACTAAAAAGAAAAAAAAGGAAATAAATGAACAATGAGAATGATGAAAATTTTGATAGCAATTGTTACTATTATTATTATTATTATTATTAGTATTATTATTATTATTATTATTAATGATATCTAAAACCATTGATGTTACTCCCAATTAATCAAAAATGAAGAAATTGTATTTTGAAATAATGGGATTTGGTGACACTGTCAACAATTATGATGATTATATGATAGTTGTTACTATAAATGTATGAAAGTTTATCAAAGGCAGCTATTGTTTGTCTGTGGTATTAATAATCATGTTTTATTTTCAATTCGTCCCATTTAGAGAAGGATTACAAACATGTTTTCAGAAATGCCAAGCTGTGATGCAGAGCCTCAGAATCTACCTCAGGGACCTGTTTGGATTTGGTGGTTTCTTTCTGTTTGTCCACTGCCCCTTGATGAACAGCTAGCATTCATTTCCATGTCCTCATTGAAAAAACGCCTTGAAAAATTACAACAGATAATCTCCTCCATGCAAACATAAATGAAAGGAATTTAACCAATGATCCTATGAATTGAGATTAGAATATGTTATGAGTATTTTTGTAAATAATACAGCTGTTCATTGTTGCCACAACAAAGGCACAAACTTACTAACCTGTACTGCAGCAAAGTTTGGACAGCTGAGACATAATTTAATTAATTTTAAACTCCTCCTCCAGGTAAATTTTGAGGATGAGCATGGTTTAGTATTTTATTGTCTACATAGATCTAATTTTAGTTTACTGATGAATGAAAAACATACTTTAAATTACATTTCTCCAAATTTGTAATTAACATATCTTGACAATTTTATAGTTTATACAGCTACATGATCACAGCAGAATATCAGGAAAATTTGTTGCCACAGAGATGGCACAAATTTACCTACTTTTTACTGAAGAAAATCTTGCATGACTTTATAAACTTAATTTAGTTAAACCTTTAACTCCTTGAAGTGATTGAGAGGTAACTTCTCCCCATAATATCCATACACTTTCTAGAAAAACAGGTAAGGAGAATACTTAAACTTATCACATAGAAGTTGTTTTTGCTTGATCTAACACCAAATTCCTTGAAACAATTTAGAAGGAAATTTCTAGCAGCTAGAGGGGAGAATAGCAATCAGATCTTGGGAGTCAAAGGGTTAATTGTTAACAACTCTGTAGGGTAAATGTTTAGGTTAGCCGTGTTATATTATTTTACTGTCTGCATTGATATGAGTTTAGCTGATGAAGGAAGAACATACTCTAAATTGTATTTCTAGAAATTTGTAAATAACTTATTGTGACAGTTTTCAAATAGACAAGTACCTGCATGATCAATGTGGAGTATTTGGATTGCAAATGGATGACCCTTACTTTTTCATGGTGAATTAATTTTACCAATTACACTGATCACTGTAATCTTTCATGATTAACCATGTAACACTGATTCTGAGGTCATTTTTGCAACTAACTTATTGTTCTTATTCAAATGTGCAGAAAAATCATCCCGTAAAAATTTCACAGCTTTTCTCCCCAGGAAACAGTTCTTTTTACCAATAGATCTTTTAATAGTAGGCATTATCCACCAGTACACCTGAAGGGAATTATTTAACTAGTTCTGTAGGGAACTCTTATTAAAATGCAACTGAAAATGGCCAAAAGTTTAATAGATCATACTTGTATCATAATGATATTCTTCAATCTCCAGATAATATAATGTTAATATTTTTTTTATTTCTAGTGTTTGTAGCAGAGACATCTGAGTGTAATGTAAGAATGTATTTAGTGCCAACTTAATCATAGTAAGAGTGATTTCACATTAGACTGCAAAACTTCCATCTTCCAAATGAGGCTGCCTGAAAACATTATTTGAGGGACATGAAATAAACTTTGACTTTGGATGTATCTTTTCATCAAAATATTTAGCCTTTAACATATTTGCCAGTCTGAAAAGATCATTTCTGGGACAAAATAAAGAAAAATCCATTCTTAATTAATGCAAATGGGTCTCAGCATGGAAGAATTAAATTGAGGATGGTCATGGTAATGATGCTGGTGAAGGCAATGAGTTGATGATAATAAGGTTGACAATGATAATGGTGATGATCATCATGGAGTCTGGTGCAGGTCAATTTTTACAGTTCAATGTCAGTATCTTAGCAATTACACACTTACCTCACCCCTAACCCAACAACAGTCAACTGATAACAGGTTGCAAATGATGTTAAGGTAGCAGAGGGGTAGGAGTGCAGTTGTTCAGACAGTGACATTGATCCAACACTACACAGTATTACTTGTATTGTTTGTAGTGATTAAGTTAAGGCTATGTGTACAGTAGTTTTTAATAAGTAATCATTTGCACTGCAATGTGTTGTCAGTAAATCTTGATTATTGGAAGTGTAATAAAATCACTCAATGGAAGTGTTGTATTTCTTGATATGTACATCTTTCAAGTTCATAACTTAACACAATTATCTTTTCTATCATTAGCCAGCCAACCTAGTTACTTCTTGGTTAACTTTTATTTTTCCATAAGTATAGTCTACATCAAGAAGGGTCCTTTTTTTAACTTTGAAACAATTTGAACTAAAATTTCTTATCACAATGACAACAAGTCTTAAATTATATTTCAAAAGGTTAGAAATATCTCTTAAAAAATTAGATACCTTTCCTGATAACAGAAAGTAAATCATTACAAGAATATGGTCAATGATTATACACAAACTCCACAGAGCTGGAAGAGTAGACATTGGGTACACTTGCACTGAACATGACAATTAAAATTTCATTCTAATGCTTCGCTCTTATCAGAAATATTTCTAATTGGAAAACTGGGAGGCAAAAATACTTATGCCCCACTACTAAATAATTTTCCTATTTATCACATCTACTGAACATCAAGCACTTTACAATTTTCTGTTACATCTGTGGTGTTTTGTCATTACCATGTGGAGTTGTGGTCTATGACTGATTGTTGGAGAGATTTCAAACAACGCCTAGAGAACACAAGAAAGCTTTTGACACAAAGAGAGTATATGCTACAGTATACCCACACTGTGTTATATTTAACTTTCTAGCTGTGTTCAAAACTAGCATACACCTTTTTATTCCATCACTTTTTGCCTTATTTCTTAGAAAAACTATTTGGGTTTGTCTAAATTAAGATTGAAATGGTCTCTCCACACATGATTATTTCTAACTTTTGTACAACAAATTTTAGAGTAATCTGAAAAATACAAGAAGACACCATGATTCTCCAGCACAAAATTTTGCTATTGTCAACTAAAAGAACAATAAGCACACTGCAAACCTTCCCTTGGAACAATGACAAGTAAACCATAACTAGTCAAATTCTGGGGTTGTTTCATGAGTCTTGCTGCTCTCCAGCCTGATTAACACAATAACACGTTACTAAGATAGTGCAGGCATTCGGTGTTACTTGATTTTGTCAGGAAGCAACTTGGCAAGAGGAAAGTTAAGCACAGACAAATGAAAAGTAATTGGAAGGCGAGTACACCTACTTTGGCACAATTGCACACTAGAAAGCAAATTTCTCAGCATCACAGACACAAGATCTGTATCAAGCTTGGGAAAAGAACTCTCTACTTTCAGCCACTGTCCACATCTCACAAACATATTATCCTTTTGCTCTCTATTAAATCAAATACTGGCCACTAAACAACAAATTATAGCTTCCTAGCCTACCTATACTGTTAGAGGCTGAAAATTAATCTTGTATCTTCAAAATGCTCTTTTTCTCAATTTCCTCCATTTCTTTCAACACATATGCCACATTATAACGTAACTCATGAAATTTGGACAAGGACACCTGTAATAAGAGAAATTAAATCAGCATGATTTGAGACTGGGTGGCCTGTGGGCTGACAGTCAGCCTAGTTGACCCAGGGGTCATTAACAAGCCTATCCAAAAAAGACAACAGCCCATATAGTGCCCTCTCAGCATAAAACTTCACTATGGCTACCAACTCATTGGCTTCCTTTTTTCTCCTTATTGGCAAGAAAGAACTTAACATGTTCACTGAAGGGTCAATGGACTCCATCAACTTTACGCAATCTTGCTAGACACTCCTCCTACCCCTCCCATCCCACAAAAAAAATAATTTAACACCTCTTTCATGATGTTGTTTTTATTCAATCTATGTTCTATAAGAGCAGTCTAATTTCTTGATAATCACAAAATAAAACTTAAGTCAATCTTTTGAAAAAACAACAATAACAATTCACAAACAAGGCTCTTCGCAGTTACGAGTAAAAACAAATATTGGCATTTTTTGTTTAAGCAATGTTGCAATAAAATGAATGTGGGACCACGAAATAATTAACCACATACACCTGTACCTCAAATGTATGGACCTTTCCATCACTGAGCTTCAGCTCCATAAGCACTGTTGGTTCCAACACTCTGTTTAGGGCACTGAAAAATAATACCAGTAACACTGCATAAACCTTATAAAGAGGCTAGCTAGAGGAGGGGAGGAGTAGGGAGGTGGTTCTGATTACATTTTATAAACATTACATTTTAGACAAATTGGTTTTGGCCTTAATCACGCATCACATACAAACCTTCTGTCACCCATTATAAATACTATGTAGACTACAGGAAGAAAAAATGGTTGCTGGTATGTAATAAGCCTCTCAACATATTTGCAAAGAAACTCAGTCAAAAGTTGAGCATTGACTCACACTGATAAAATTTTCACCATCTTCCCATCTCTCTATGTCAGGAAGAGTGTGTGGAAACATAAAAATGTCCCTACAGTTTTGTAACTTATTTACTTCATGTTAGGAGAAGTTTAATATTTCAAATAATAAATAAAATAAAATCAATTTATCAATTCATCACCAGATGATAACCTGGACTTACCTTGTGGATATAGCAACATCGACTCGCCATCGCAGTGAATCTAAAGTTGGAAGGTGATTTCTGTTTTGAAGAGCAGCTGCATCAAATGCCAGTCTTCTACAAAATAAGACATTGATAAAAAATATGCATCCATAATCTTTCACGATACAGTAACTTGGTATTTATTTGTTGCTACATCCCAGATCAGTCCATATGAAGCAAATTGGATACTAGTATTTTCTTTATATAAATAAGTATTTTTGGAACTATCACACTCTAAAAAAAAACCCATGCAAACAAATGAGACTATCAAATTGCACCATAGATTATTGGTAATTTATTAACTATGAATAAAGCATTTCTAGTGCTCTGATTGGTTCACATCAACTCTGTTAATCAGTCATATTTAGAGTCACCTAATATTGAAGCTGTAAAAAGCCTAAAACCATTAAACATTAAGGATTCAATCAATGAAAACTAACAAAACAATTATTCCCTTCACCTTGTAATACAAGATTGGATGTAAGATTGGTTATATTTACCACCTCATATCCAACATGTGCTCATGGAATCATTGTGAAACATTTCTTTAATATCTCATTTGTCCATGTGTTTAAGATTTTATGGTTACCAGTCCACAAAAGCAAAGAGGCATTTGCCTAATAAACAGAGTTTAAAAAAAAAAACACACTTACTTTTCTCCAAACACAACGCTTGAGAGATCAGGAATTAATTCAGCAGGAATCCTTTCAGACAAAACAATAAAACCAGTTTGGTACCATGTGAAGTCATTCAAGTATAAGGAAGGATTTGAAATTTTATAAATTCCAGGCCAACAGGTTGAATCAAGCACAGGTGGATGCATGGGTAGACATGTACACACATGAATTATTGTTAAAAATAAAAAGAGAGACTCACTGGCATGAACACTGCCTTTCTCCTAGAGAACTCAAAGAGAACTACAGAGTTCTGTATAACGGTGTTAACTGACACAATTCTCAAGGTAAGTGTAAAAAAATGAAATCAAAATTGAGCAAAAACTGCTGAATGTTATAATAAGCTGCGCCTCCACTTTCTTCCTCTTAACAAAAACTAAAGTGTTGTTTTTTGCTTGGGCTGAATAGCCTTGCTTTATAAACTACATGTATATTTGTGCATCATGAATATTGTAGCTTTCCTACCCAAGAAATCCATGCTATAAACAACTTTCATTAGAGCTGGATGATAGCCCAAAGAAAAGTCATAATTTACATTTTGGCCCATATCAAAATCTTTTTTTTACACCCTCATTACTAATTAGCCTATCCTTCTCCTAAATGACCCTAGAAATTAGTAAACTCTCCTCAGTGGGCCTACTGGAGCAATCAACCCTAAATTCTCCCCTCCTGCTGCTACACATTTCCTTGTAAATTAGTTACAAGAATTTTGATGTTAGCTCAAGTTAACAAATTTCTAACTGATACATTTGAGTATTCTCATTACCTAACTGCAAGATAATGTATAGAAATCATACAGAGAAGTTACCTGATCATCACTTTCAGGAATTAGGGTTAAAGTTAATACTATTAGCACATTCAGTGATTAAAATTGCTTGTGATATATAAATCAAAGGTTTCAAGGGCTTACTTACTTCAGTTCTCCAAGGTCTGCCTTAAACTGTTCTGGTTTTAAAGATGTCTGGGGCAAACGCAGAGCACTGCGCAGAAGTGAGTAAAGCCCAGCATATAGAGAGGATATGACATCCTCTGTTACAGTTTCTGACTGAAGCTTCTGGAGCAGACCATCATCAGGAACCTTTCCCTCCAAAACTGAAATAATAACTGCCAAGAGCCGAAGACAAGAACTCAGGGACTCACAATGAATGTAACATTTGTATGCACTCTCCCTTCCCCTGCCCCTATATTTAAGTGATGCCAATGTTATAGTATTCTTTCAAATGTTCTCAGTGCAACTCCTACTCAGCTTCACAGGAGATGAAGATCTATGGTTGTTTCTGTTATTCCTGTCTAGGATTGTAAGATAGTGATCCCTAATTGGGGATCATACGTAGGGTAGAGGAAACTCGTGAAAGTAAAGCCAGCTAATTTGAATTTCGGCCTAATTACAGTCAGATGACATCATATCTCTAATCTAGAGGAAAATAACTAAAAATCAATTCTGTGTTAATTGATCTTTATCTTTGACAAATATGTAGTCAAGTGAAATACAACTGTGTGCTTCCAGAGTGCTACAAAGCATTATTACGCATTATTTATAGGTGAAAAACGTAGCTAACGAAGAAACACATTTTTCTCATACTTAGTCAGCAAAAGCAAATCAATATAATAAGAAAGACCCTGAGATTTATGATGTAATTTCCTAACGAGTCCTTGATATGACCTCCCCAGGCATAAAAATATATAGAGATTTGAATAGCCAAATGCTATAATGATAATTTAGGGGGATCCTCCGCCAACCTACCTTGTAAAATCTTTCTGAATAAGGCCTTATCTATCTTTGTTAGATGAGGTATCATTCGTTTGATTTCATCTGGAATTTTTGGACCTACAAACAAAGTAGTTTCCGTCAAAGGAGTTAATGCAGAACTAGCGCGTTCACGCGCCATCTTGGATTTCCGCTTGATCCAGGCCTCCCAGCCTCCCTTTCTCTTAGTCCAACATACTCCCCCTCCCTCTCCCTCCCCGCATATCATCTAACGCACCCACCTTCCTCGTCTACACCATTTTATTTTACATGTACGCTTGATAACTTTTTAAATTACTCCTTGAAACTTTGACACGAAGGCACAACCACGTGGTCACTCGGTAAAAATTGCAAATTGTTTGCTCTCAAACGCTCCTAATTTGGCTGAGTAACCAGGATGGAATACTGCTGGTATCTTAATCTGCGGAAAATATTATTTAAATCGATGGTAACTATTTAATAGAAGCATATCTAATCAACTGATTGCCCGCCTAACTTGTTACTAGCAAGCTGTTTCATCTCAAAGTGTATTTTTCTTTCTTTGTATCGGAAATTTCTTACCCTCTTGGCGAGCTGCTTTAAAATCGCCCCTTGTGGCTGATATAAAACAAAAGCAAAAACAGTACGACGACTTGCTCCTTTGTTCAGTATTACTGCATTGTATTAAATGATTTATGAACGTTGAATTTCATTAAGCCAGCCAGCCACAATTATACCTCGGATTTTCATGGTTATAAAACTCGGAATTCATATTCTTTACCTCGCTGAACGAACCTTTTCGTCAAAAATTCATTTTCGGGATGATTGGGACAAGATTTCTCAGGACAACACTGGTCTTTTGGAGTTATTGTTTCAACACATGACAATATTTACATATTGGGCGTGACACTCTTCTAGAAAAAGTCAATTTGCATCAGAGGGATAGCATTATCATATCTCATTTATTGACGTTGTGTTTGCGAGAAAAGACGTTAGCACGTTAAGTCGTTTGGCGTCTAACTATCTCCCGGGAGAGCCAAATCACAGCAAGCGAAAACAAGGTAAATTGAATATTTTTATTCTATAACTTGAATTTATTACGCGTGCTTGAGTGATGGCGAGAATTTAGCTTTGTAAGCTGCTGATTCATTGAAGCAATTGAAAACGCATTTTAACTGATAATTCGTCTCATAATTTCTTCAGTCTTATTTACTTTTTCGCATTTAAAGGTTTTCGCCTAGGGCAGTTGAGTAAAAGCGCCGCTGTATTTTAATTTCATGGTTACAGTCGTCTGGCGCTGGGAAGTTCGTGACCGTCAGATGTGGTGCAAATGCAGTGAAGCCGAAATAGTCTCGACGATCAATACTTTAGTACTTCTGAATTGTCTAACGAGGGGATGTGAGTTTCAGCAAATAACAGCTAAAAGGCCAGCCGGTAACCCTAAAATAACATGATAACGACAACATTGAGGGCTCCTTCCTAACCCCAAAGATTTCACACGATGAATAAATTAGGCTATCATGACCCTGCGGCCGTTAAAATGTTCTTGACACTTCTAGACGGCTGGCTGAGGTACACAAATCGTGAGGTGGATCATTATGTTTACATGGTATTGACTCTGCGAATTAGATAAGATAACAAGTTGATAACTGTTTTGAGCCAGAAAGCTTGACCCTTGCAATTTTATCAAACTGTCGTGTCTGCCGCTCGATCATTCGTCACAAAGTAACGCAGAAAATCTAACGTTAAGGCCATTTTCCATTTTTTTTTTCATGTGAAAGGCGAGTCCAAAAAATCATGCATTTTTCAATATTGAGTAAAAATGACTTAATCAACAAATGTCCGTCAAAATGGCAACAGCGCCGCCGTCGACGGCCATTGTCTTTCAGTACGGAAGGCTCTGACTGGTGGCAGATTTAAATATTTTCTGGTGGTGTTAATGAGAGTTTTTTATTATTCTATTGCATGGAAAAATTAATGACCATCTGCTGAGATTCCCAGGGGCAGATTAAAAACCCTGGAAACACGTCAAACATAAACAAGAGAAAATTGGAGATAGTAATTAACGGTTGAAGCTGCAATGAGAGTAACGAATATCCGAAATTTAGTTAGTCACGATTTGTTCGCGTCCTAACAAAGAGAATAGTTCTTTAGAAACCGTGTACTTTTTATCTCCACCAAGAAAAGTATGTATGAAAATATTACACTGACTGCTCTGTAAGGTTCTCAAGAGTAATTCAACCCAATCCGAAATTGTCTGACATCCAAATCATCTACACTGAGAGGCAGCTATTTTTTATCATTCCTAAAACCTGGCCTAACAACCTACTTGCGACATAGCGAAGTTTAGCGATTTCCTTGAACAATGAAAAGCTGCAAATAAAGCCACTTATGACTGAAATGTTGACAACTTTTTTTTTTTCGCTATTAGAGCAGCAAGCCGTTTCAGACCTGCGCTTGTGTGGCCAGGTTACTAAGTTCTCAAAATGGCGGGTTCATACTCGACTGTTTTCATATTTGAAAATGATTTACGAAAAGTTGGTTGCTCTTTCAAAAGAGAAACAAACACTTGTGACCCTTACTCAGCTTTAACTATCCGTTCCTATGGTCCAGTCTCCCTCCTTACCCTGCACCTTAAGCACTTTCGGGTCAGTAGAGGAAAAGACCCCTGAAGCGGGGCAAATTAGCGTGTGAACTGTTTCACCACAAAATGCTATGACAGCACCATAAATTAAAGACTATTCAAAGTCAGTATCGTTATCACGATTCTATTTCTCTAAATGATATTTTAAATGGACTTGAATGGGCGGTAGTACAGCCTAACCTGACTCGTTTTCTGCACTGAAACACGAGCCTCCTCAGGGAACACAGAATCCTCATATTTCCAGCGATTTTGATTAATGAAACCAATATCATAATAAAATGAAGATATCACAGGGAGCTAAAATTAAGAGAACGTGGCGTCAAGATTGGTTATATGGTTTTTCATTTGATTAGTAGAAAAGTTGGTAAAAGTATCGACCATGCAATCACAGAGCTAACTAAAGTATAAACACAATCCAATTCCGGATCACTTACGATACTCAATGTTCTTAATCGAATATCGTCTCCGGGAATGTGGCTGAAAATTTGATTAATTGCCTTCTTTAACTTCCTCTAACGTTTGCAGTCAGTCGAGACGGTTTGAAGAGGAGTGAAGTGACAACGAAGACATGAATGTTCTGTGGGCAATCATTTGGTTTCTCGTTCTCTGGTTTCTCGCTTGGCCTGTTGGGTTCTTCTGTGCTGGTTGGTACGTGTGTTTGTCGCCGATTGAAGCCTGCGTCGATGCCATCAAGGCCGTCACAGAGCTCCTTATGAAGGGTGTAATGTTACCGTTAGAGGTCGCAAAGCATATGGTAGAGGGTAAAGCTGGATGGTGATAAAAAAAAGGGAAACCTAAGCTACTTGAATTTCATATTGTTTCAATAAACAATTAATGTATTTATACGAATTCTAAAAATCTTTTCATCAATCTCATTTAGTAAAAAATTGTACATTGATAAATTTTTTATCTTATGTCAGTTGTACTTTTATTGAGATTGCAACTATGTAGCTACGCACTTGACCGGTATTCGAAAAGCATTCTCTTGTCACAGCATATTAGTTGTGGATTCATCTGTTTTTTAAGGGTTGTACTTCTCTTTTATAGCAGATGCGTTAGCCTCCTGCTTTAGTTGAGTTTGACTGTCATTAAATCACTATCTCCCGTTGGTGTCGTCAGTATTGCACTACCTTTCTAGAAATTTTTTACAAGCAATAATAAAGCGAAAAAATTTAACTGAAACTGTACTCACCTGTCGAACGATATCAGTGTTAAATGACATATTTGATTCGCTATTTGTGCAATGTGAGCTGCTCCTCTCTATAATTTAGGGCAATGAA